CTCGCGCGTTATGTTATAAAGGAACGTTAATAAAAACAAGAAAATTTTTATGTACATCCCTCTTGAAACCTGAAAATTGGATTTTGCATCCGTGAAAACCAGGGGAAGTCAGACATGCGAGATCACACCGTTTTAAGAAACAAGGGGCGGATCAAGCCTTGGTAATTCTACTTCGTAATTTTTAGCCTTTGGTGCCATAAAATACAGAAATAAGCGTATTGGCCGTAGTTTCTTTTGTCACAGCTAGAATTAATAGGCATAAACAAATATAAATTGAGAACCTGAGACATGCCGTCACTTTTCTGTGTCACGTCGTGTTTTGAAGATGTCGAAGTACTTCCCGTCGGACGTCGATTTGGAGCTCATACGAAAATTGGCTGGGGATGGGCTGCGATATGAGCCGTTAGCCAATATTTTCAATATTAATCAGGCCGCTCCTTTAAGAATGAATAAGGTAACACTGCCTAGAATTAAGTATGGTGGGCCAAAACGGTCCGGAAGCAAGCAAGACGATGATCTTTTTCATCAGATAGGGGTCTGTGCCTCACAAAAATTTTAATGCGAAGCTTATGGCTTTTCTTCTAATAGGTCACGAACTGTATACAAGGCTTTCGCAAAATCTGCTCGGGTCTCACGTGCGTGGGAATGAGGGTCACAACGACGCAGCCACTGAAGCCTGACTCACAGTCCTAAGAATGACCGAGTTGGTATCAGTCTAAGATACGACGTTTGACATGTCATGTTAGATTCGAGTGAGTCAGGTTGATTATGGAGAGCAGTGTGTCGTGGGGATGGATTCCCCAGTGTGGGCCACACCACCTTTCCTTCGCCCATGCATCGCTCACCTCTCGTCCAGCTGATGATGATTTTGGGCGTATTGGCTGATGGGTCAGTAAGGCATATGTCTAGGCCCGCCAACTTCTAAAGTAACATGAATTTTTCTCATTGACTTTAGATGCCCTTAAAAGTTCACTTATATTTCAAGGAAAAAACGCATAAAAATATTTAGTCTTTTGGTAGAAAACTACGTCCTCTTCTAATTATATAATCGAAGAAAGCGTATAGTTCAATTTTCAAGAATTTTCTAACATGAGATTTTTTATACCGTGAAATGCCCGTTCATAAAACATCGTGTCACTGAATTTGGAAATGTGGCTTGTAAAGTTTATAATATGGCTGAAATCCACTGCTGAATTTTATGAATCACATATGGTCTCCTCTTAATACCATAGAGAGATGAACGGTTTCTCATACGCGGAAAATATATGGTTCGAAATTTGGACATCTTAGAGAGAGAGAGAGGAATGCTTTATTTTGAAAATAACTTTCAAAACTTTCAGCAAAAACGGTTCTGCAGTACACAGTGATTACCATAGAGATTAACAGGTATTGGACAGGTGGACATAATTATATATGGAGAAAAAAAGGACTTTAAGGTGCAAGATGGAGTTTTAGTTTTCGTTTTTCGACATCTTTGCAGGTGAGATACCGGGCTAGAAATGGCACTATGGAATTCCGATAGGCCGAAGTGCGGCAAGGGATGTGGCGGAAGCATCGACGCATGGGGCGTAAGGATTTCGCAGACATTCACTCATTATGAAGGGGATGGACGGTGTCATGCAGAATTCGGTCAGCGAATTGCTCCACCGAGTTGAAGTGTCGCTGCACGATGATATCAACTAAAATATGATAGGGAACACCAGCAGCAAAGGCGAGCATTCGAATGACACGTTTAAAAATAATTATATCTTTTTTAAGTAAAGCTGGAAAAATAACTGGAGAACAATAAAGAATGAGTGGAAGAATACAGCCATCTATGAATCGCCAGATTAAGGACGGGGGTGTGTGATATGAACGTAGACGACGAATGTAATAAACAAGTTTTTGAATTTTTTTTAAAAGGGTTTCCATATGAAGAGAGAAAGAGAGATTTGAGGATAAAGTAACACCTAGGTACCGGAAAGAAGATACCTCATTGGGAAGAATATCCAAAGGTTCAGGAATGGGAGAGGGTCGCAATCGAAACACACACTGTACTGATTTCTGATCGATGAGTAGGAGTCCATTATTCGACGACCATGCGGAGACGTGATCTAAGCCGTCCTTTAAAGACTGCAAATGAGTCAGGTTTTTGAGTGGGTGGCCTACGACCATGTCATCGGCATACTTAACATACAGGCAGTCGTTTGGCGATCTCAAATCATCAGTATGTAGGGAGAAAAGATGAGGGGATAAGATGGAACCTTGTAGAACTCCACAATTATTTGGAAGAATAGAAGATTTCCTCTTTCCCGACTGGACAAACTGAGTGCGGGAGGAAAAATAATCTCTAAGCCAAGAAACAACCCAACTCGGAGCGTCGCACGCAGCTGCTTTTGTCAGGAGGAGTTGGCGCGGAATAGTGTTGAAGGCGGATGAGTAGTCGAGAAAAGCACATGCATATGCACGGCATCCCTTGCCTAAGTCTCTCAAAGCTGAATGAACAACTAAAGCAACAGCATCCAAGGTGCTACGCTTTGCCTTGTATGCAAATTGTAGAGGATCAGAAAAATTGACGGAGGAGTTTTTAAGGGAATCTAATGCAACTCGTTCAGTATGTTTCAGGAGCACAGAAGAGCAGGCAATAGGACGGAAAGATTTAGGAGCAAAAGTTAAAGATTTTTTAGGGATTGGAGTAATTCTTACTGTACGCCAGGCGTCAGGAATCTTGGACTCTATGAAGGATAGATTAATAAGGTGGGTCAAGACGGGAGCTATCTGCGAACAGCAAGACTTAAGGAGAAAAGGAGAGACACCGTTCGGCCCAGCCGCCGTTGACCCGCGAATCTTTTTGAGATGTTGTTCCACTGTTGTCACAGTCACAGGAGTAAAGTCGCATGGTGGTAGGTAAATTTCGTTTGGGCGAGAAGGGAGTCGTTAGAGGTACAGATATAATTTCGATTTAAAGAGTTTAAATCTACATAAATGGGTTCAAGTATATTACGTTGACCAGTGAGACGCTTGAGATTCCTCCACAGTTGAGCAGAAGGAAAAGAAGAGGAGGGGGTGGATGAAGTAGAAAAAAGTTGACTAACGAATAAACCGTTAAGTCTGGCAATTTCGTTCTCTATTAAAACATTGATATCCTTCACCGTGTCACGCTGACCTAGTTTGTAAAAGGCTTCTTTGCGAAGTGTCAATTGTTTGAGGTATGGTGAGGAGATTCTGTCAGGCCTGACCATAACAGTTTCACGGGGACAACAAATATCAAAAATGTGATTCAAAAATATCGTAAGATAGATAGAGCATAATTCAGCATTTTGAAGTGCTAGAAAAGTTGAGATGGTACTAGTAATTGAACTCTGCAGTAAGTGGATCTTATCTACGGATGTGTCTCGAACAGTAATTTTCCTCTCGGGTTTTGTGAGCATTTGACGCTTAGATGTGGAATAGACTTTTGGAAGTCCTAGTAGCACTGAGTGATCTGACCCGGAGAGTGGAGCTCTATTTTTAATACAAAAAAGCTTTGGGTAATTGGACAAGATGTGATCAAGAGGGGCATCAGCCCGTGTATTGAATGAAACAAGGTCATCAAAACCCAGAAGGGTAATGGGCCGAAGACTCACACGGTTAAAATCACCGCACAAAAGAATAAGATGGTCTGAGGATAATGAAGCAAGTTTTTGTGTGAGGAAGTCAAAAAAACGGCCCAGAGAGCCTTCATTTGTGGAAGGGGGGATGTAAATACTGACAAATATAATACCTTTACAACTATTTAAGAAATAGGGCTTACAGATAACAGCAATGATATCAATTAAATCACCAGAATATGAAAACAGGGGCTTACAGTTTGTACACCAGACTTGATTGACAAAAATGGCCACTCCTCCACCTCTACTGCCTGTTGGAGATGGTCTATCGATGGTCTATCTGATCACTTCGAAAACAACAAAATGACGAAGGAGTGATTAGTTCCCAGTCAATATGGCTATTCAACCACGTCTCCTGAAGGCAAATTACTCCTGTTTTGCCATGATCTTTGGTTGACAGAAGTAATTCCAAATCATGGGCTTTATGAAATATCGATCGACAGTTAGTCGAAAGAAAACCCGGGATTGACACATTGTTTTTAGGCTGGCGTTTAAACGCAACTTGCCATCCACAGCGATGTTGCTTTCGAAATATTGGCCTTTGCTGATACGAGCGTGGGAAGGCCAACGAGGATGGATGTAGTGGAAATGTGGACTTAGAAACTACAAACAGTAATATATACAGGAAAACTAACTCCAAATCTGGGAATTGTGTTTACCAACAAAAAAAAAGAATGTACAGATTTGAAGAATCAGAAAAGGAATGTTCCAGACTCATGTAAAGTTGAATCCTCTCAAGTAGCGAGATAGTGTTCCGATGAGGGACCGGTTGAATAGAGGCTGTAGGTTCCGCGATGATATGGTGAAGTAGGCTTTGAGGAGGAAGTCTCCGTCAGCTCGTACGAATTGCTAAGAATATTGAGAGGTTACAAGCGCAGGCCAAGAAATAACGACATCAAGCACACTCGAAACCAGAACACAAGTTGACCGCCGCAGCGTTGGTCATGTGTATTTATTTTGTTTAGTCAAACAAATGTACAGGCAAGTCAGATGTACATGAAAGTGTAGTGAAACAAATCAAAAGTGTACAAAAGCCTACACAACTCCCCCACCAGAGCGTTTCCCAAAGAAACAAAACGCTCGATAAAATAAAACGGAAAAAAATTACACTACAAAGTCTTTAAGTTTGGCGAAAAAACGGATATGTCTACCGGAACGAGATGAAATGGGCGGTGGTGAAGGAGGAGGATCCGGTTGGGTGGGTAGAATGGTCAAGTGTGGTGATGGAGGGTAGGTGAAAGGAGTGGGTGTATCGGGTGAGGACATAGTAGGGGGAATGGATGGCGCACTGGTCGAAGGGAGACACTCCAGATAGGTTGGCTTCAGGCGGTCAATGGAGACCGCGTCAGTCTTATCGGCCTTCTGAAGGACTTAAAACTTGTCTTTCCGCTGAACGACCTTATATGGGCCATCGTAGGGAGGACAAAGGGGCTTGCGCACTGCGACATGCTGGACGAAAACGAAGGGGGCAGATTTAAGGTCCTCGTGTACAAACACATGTTTCGATGTCAGACGAGTGGGGGTTGGACGCAGTTGAGCCATGCGTTGTTTTAACTGCTGTACGAAGGTGCTCGTGATGTTAGTGTTTGTCGTGGAAGGTTGCACAAATTCGCCAGGCAGACGGAGGGGTGTACCGTACACAAGTTCGGCGGCAGTGCATTGGATGTCCTCCTTGACAGAAGATCGGATGCCCAAAAGCACAAGAGGGAGATTGAGACTCCAAGTAGCTGCGTCTATTTGGAACATCAGTGCGGACTTGAGTTGGCGGTGTAGACGTTCAACGAGGCCGTTGGAGGCAGGATGGTATGCCGTGGTTGTAATGTGCGCACACCCGAGCAGTCTAGTGAACTCACGGAAGAGGCTAGAATGGAATTGACTTCCGCGGTCAGTGGTAAGGGTGGCTGGAACACCAAAAGTTGAGATCCAGTGGGTCAGAAAAACCATGGCGATATTAATAAGTGTTCACGTGACTGGAGGGAAAAAACAAAAAAATGGCGGCTCAATTTCAAGAGCCCGCAGGCGGTAAGTTTGTTGGCTGGCCTTGGCTGCTAAGAATTCCGGTCCGCCCTACTATTTCTGTGTCCTAGATCCTGTCTTGTAGGGCGGGCAGTTCGTAGTCCATTTGACACTGCGCGTGACTCTGCTGTCTGAATAAACGAGACTGTCAATAATATTGATTTGAGTCCCGCTGAAAGTGAGGCAACGGGCGTCGTATTCAGTCTCGTGTGACGGCGGTTGCATAATTTTTCATGCATCTGGTAACCAGCAGAAATACGTATCACGATTCATATCAAAAATAGGGAGGGTAGGACACGACAATGGGTTCACCACGGTAAATTCTTACGCGGTATCTATTCACGTGCTCAAAGCCTGACTATAACGTTGCATTTACTCCTAAGACTAATTCTCCTTGGAATTTAATGCAAGGAAAGCAGTAATATGATCGGACACGAAATCAAGTGTCCTAACCTAGGAAGTTTTAAACTGGATTGGATAGGATGTGCGCAGTGCTGAACATTATGCTAGCTCTGGTCTTATTTTCTGGCAATCGCTCGTGTTTAAACTTCTCGTCCATTCAACACAGATGCCTTCAATTCAGTTCAGTTCCGTTTATTGAGGGAAATAGGCGTTGGCCTTTGAGTACCCTATTTGCAACGTAAAAAAATGTGTAGTATACAGATAGATATTCTGGGCTGAAATAGTTCGAACACGCCCATAATGGTGGGACAAAATGAGAACTAGTTACAGGGGGGGAGCTCTACTTCTCATCGCTCTTGGTCATTTTGGAACATAAATATGTCCAGATTCTTCTTAAAACTTTGTATAGATGGTGACATCACAACATCTGCGGGAAGCTCATTCCATGGTTTGACCACCCGAACCGAGAAGGAGAATTTCCGCACATCCAGCCGTGCCTGCTGAGTGCGCAGTTTTAACGGGTGACCTCGGAGTTTGGTCGTGGTAGCAAATTAAAAAAATATCCTCGGAGGCCAGACTGCAATCCAATCCCTTTATAATGCGGAAGGCTTGCAAGAGATCCCCGCGAAGTTACCTGTTACTCAAAGGAAAGAGGTTCAGATTTACAAGGCGCGTTGCATAAGGAAAGGAGCTTTGACCCCTAACCATCTTCGCGGCTCTCCTCTGGACTCTTTTGGAGGCAGTTTTGATCCTCAACAGCCCACGGCCTCCAAGCTTGTATGGCGTACTCTAAATGCGGCCGGACGAATGTTTCGAATGTCTTAGAGAAAGCTTCTTCGTCAAAGTCCATAAACGCACGCTTGATGGCGTACAGTACGGACATTGCGCTTTTTGCCACCCTCGAACAGTAGGCGGATGGTTTTAGGGAACTCGTCGTAAGCACACCGAGGTCCTTTTGGGCTTCGAC